CCCTGACATGTGGTTAGGAGGGTCAACCAGCTCAGAAGGCAGAGCATGACTGAGGCGGCAGGAGGGGCCTATGCCCAGGCTCCCCACCCAGTTCCAGTTGTGGCTTCCTTGGGGCGGGGGGGCTGCGAGAGTGAGCTGGAATACGGCGTTGGTAGGGGGTTTGAGCTCCTTTCCAGGTGAGGCTGTGGGCTTCCTCTTTGCCTTCCAGGTAACCCCTCTGCATCTTGTGTTGTAGGAAAACCTGTTTGGACTGGAAGCCCATATTCTGGGCACACGTATTGGGTGCCCAGATGGTCCTGAATTTACAAAAGCCCACCACACTGACAGGACCTGCAGACACATGGATAAATATTTTGCCTTTCTTCTTAGGCAATATTTGAGTCTTTCAAATTTAATTGCTGTCAAAGGCAGGATGCTTACCACCCCTGAGGCAGAGCGAATAGTGTGGGCCTCCAGCCGGGCTGCCGGGCTGCTCCCCTGGCCCCTGACGGCCCCTGCATTGCCCCTTCTTCTGCTTCTTGCTCTGGCCCAGAGTCCAGTGGCCTCTGCCCTCATTGGCTGGGAGGGCTTTGAGTGCAAGAGGCTACAGGTTCTGTCTGCAGCTCACCTGGAACCTGTGGTGACTTGTTAAGTGTGTTGAGGTTGAGAGCAAAAAAACCAGGTACTTTTCTCAGACACGATTGACAGGCATCCTAGAGGCTATCGAGAGTGGAATCCAGTTTTGTACTCCAAAGATAGGTCCAGGGACTGTTTTGTTCCATCCTGAAATCATTGCACAGAGGGCTGCTGCTAGTTTGTATGGCACTTTTAAAAAAATTATATAAGGCAGCCCTTCTCCCAAAAGCAGCCTCCCACACCCCACCATAGTGCAAGGCTTGGCAAGCACAGCAGTGCTAAATTTCAACACCCAATTATCCCCAGGAGGGGCCCTTGTGCAGGGTACAACATGCCCAACTGTACATGTCCAAGGCAGTTGCTGATGTATTTTTGTTACTATTTCTACTCTTTATGTCTTCCTCTTCTTTTTCTTTTCTACACTCTCCTCCCCCCACACCAGACCATTGCCCTTGGATTACATTTGCCGCGTACATGAGACACTGTCTTGTGATCATACGTGGTTTTCTTCTACCTCAGTGTGATTGTTAAGTCAGCCAGGGTAGAGGTCTTTGCTACAGTCTCCTAGAGATCTGCGGCAATCAACTCCTCTTATTCACTACGTCCTAGCTGGCCTCGGTTATTTTAAATCCTTGCATGTAATGAAAGCAGGTGGATTCTTTGCCCACGGCGGTCTTGGCCAAGGGCACCTCATATTTCTCAATCCTTTCTTCCAAGCACCTGGTGTTGTGTTTACCTTGTGCGGGAAGATCAAGAAGAATGAATAAGACAACATCCCTGCCCTTGAGAAACTCACAATCGAGTAAGGGAGCGAAGTGCGTAGACGGATAAATCACAGCCCCTCCACGTGTCCCCTGCAGAGGGGGAAGCTCAGGGAGCAAGGAGGAGAACGGAGCAGCCCCAAGTGCGTGCTGCTGTTGGACGCTCCCAGGTGCCCATGAGGAGCTGCCCTGGAGCCGCCCTATAGGAGGTGTACATGAGGACAAGACCAAACACCAGTGTTCAGGGGAAGGCAGCAGGGAGGACAGGTGAGGTGGCGAGATGGGTCACATCACAGGTGGTGGGAAGGTTTTTCCAGCTGGATCCTAGGGTGTGTGGAGGTTGGGGCCCAATGGGAGGCTGGGGGTTTATGCCTGAGGAGTGTGGGGTTCATCCTGCATGCAGTAGAGGCCACCAGAGGCCTTTGAGCAGGGATGGTGTGGTTGCTTTTCCTTTGTGGAATACACTTCGAGTGGGAGGCTGTGGCATTAAAAGGTGATGTAATCTTTATGTGTGTGTGTGTGTGTGTATATATATATATATATATATATATATATATATATATATATATATATAACAGCAGAATGAGATACAATTCTTATTACACACATAGAGCACAATTTTTCATATCTCTGGTTGTCTACATAGTATATTCTAGGTGATGTTATCTTAAGAGACTACCATCCTATATGCACCTGGCTTTGACTGAAACGTTATGCCACACGTGGCTATACCAGGACAACTACTATGTGGAAGTGAGAACAGAGGAGAGACTACACTCTGAAGTACAACAGACAGAATTTGAGACCAGTTGATGTCTCCAAAGGAAGCAGAGGCAGAATGGAGGAGGAGGAGATGTGGGGTCGACACAGTAGACTGGATGGAGGTGATGCTATTAATGGAAATTTCTGAGAATTTGGAGTGTGCAGGTTTGAGGTGTGGATCTGAGTAGAGGAAGTGGGGACTGGTGGACACCTGTTCCAGAAGTTTAGCAAGTCAAGGAAGGAGGATGGAGGGACACAGGTGTGACAAGGTGTGTACAGGAGAAATACCAGAGCACGTGAGAGGCTGCAGGAGTTTGTGGGCTAAGGGGACAGAGGTAGAGGGTTGAGAAACTGGACATAAGCAAGAGAGTGCAAACTACTTTCTAGAACTTTATCTCTTTGGATAGTGTTGTCCTATTAGAGGAATGTCTGCCAATAACTGGCAAGTGGGCGGTTGTCCAGCTATGATTTACAATAAGGCATCAGTTGCATGAGGTACTGTCTAAATTATTGCACCTCACCAATTGCCAGTTTCCTTGCTGACAGTGGGCCAGGGGGTCAAACAATTCAATCAGGTGCCACTGGTTATAAATTGAAAATCAGTGGGGTGCAAAATGGATTACCATCAAAATCCATTCAGGTGCAAAACCAAATTTCAAAAACCCCTAACCTTTAAAAAACACCCCTTTCCTGATTCTTCACAATGCCCTGACATTGAGTTTTAATATCCTTCAGATAAGCAAACGTCAATAGAAATGCTTGCAGGAGACCAAAAGTAACAAGGGAAAACTTCCCAGTTGAGCTTTCCTTTTGGAATTTGCAAACATGGTGGATTTTTGAATGAATGCATTGACAGTTCTTTAGATTCCCTGAAGTCCAAGTTCTCAAACTTCAGCATGCAACAGAATTGTCTGGAGGGCTTAAAAAGATTCATCCAGGTTTTATTTGGAGTTTCTGATTCAGTAGATTTGGAGTTGGGTCTCAGAAGTTGCATTTTTAGAAGCTCTTAGAGGATACTACTGCTACTGGATCTGGGACCACATTTTGCGAATCTCTGCCCTAAGATATGGGAACATTTTGATCATTTGACCAGCAAATCATGCTTTGGTTCATAACCATTTGTCAGAAAGTGGACCAGATGTTGAGTCTAAGGGCCCATAGATTTGTTCAAGAAACCTGAGAAAGGACTGATTCCAAGAGATAGATACCGATTGATTTGAGTGCTTTGTTGGTCAGAGGTGAGGTTGAAAAGGAAGGAGGTAGAAAAGGGGAGAAGCCCCCTTAGCTCACTGTTCCAGAAGACTGTGTACCAACAGCACAAATAACACCACTGAGGCAGAGGCCTGGTCCCTGTGTGGAATCTGTTCCTGGCTTTCAGTGCTGATCTTCCTCTTTGGAAGGAAAGAGTTTCTTTTTCTTTTTTTTTTTTTAATTTTTTTTATTGGTTGTTCAAAACATTATAAAGCTCTTGACATATCATATTTCATACATTAGATTCCAGTTGGTTATGAACTCCCAATTTTACCCCAAATACAGATTGCAGAATCACATCGGTTACACATCCACATTTTTACATAATGCCCTATTAGTAACTGTTGTATTCTGCTACCTTTCCTATCCTCTACCATCCCCCCTCCCTCCCCTCCCATCTTCTCTCTCTACCCCATCCACTGTAATTCATATCTCTCCTTGTTTATTTTCCCATTCCCCTCACAACCTCTTATATGTAATTTTGTATAACAATGAGGGTCTCCCTCCATTACCATGCAATTTCCCTTTTCTCTCCCTTTCCATCCCACCTCATGTATCTGTTTAATGTTAATCTTTTCTTCCTGCTCTTCCTCCCTGCTCTGTTCTTAGTTGCTCTCATTATATCAAAGAAGACATTTGGTATTTGTTTTTTAGGGATTGGCTAGCTTCACTAAGCATAATCTGCTCTAGTGCCATCCATTTCCCTGCAAATTCTATGATTTTGTCATTTTTTAGTGCTGCGTAATACTCCATGGTGTATAAATGCCACATTTTTTTTATCCATTCATCTATTGAAGGGCATCTGGGTTGGTTCCACAGTCTAGCAATTGTGAATTGTGCTGCTATGAACATCGATGTAGCAGTATCCCTGTAGTACGCTCTTTTAAGGTCTTCTGGGAAAAGTCCAAGAAGGGCAATAGCTGGGTCAAATGGTGGTTCCATTCCCAGCTTTCCCAGGAATCTCCATACTGTTTTCCAGATTGGCCGCACCAGTTTGCAGTCCCACTAGCAATGTACAAGAGTACCCTTTTCCCCACATCCTCTCCAGCACTTGTTGTTGTTTGACTTCCTAATGGCTGCCAATCTTACTGGAGTGAGATGGTATCTTAGGGTGGTTTTGATTTGCATTTCTCTGACTGCTAGAGATGGTGAGCATTTTTTCATGTACTTGTTGATTGATTGTATGTCTTCCTCTGAGAAGTGTCTGTTCAGGTCTTTGGCCCATTTGTTGATTGGGTTATTTGTTTTCTTATTGTTTAATTTTTTGAGTTCTTTGTATACTCTGGATATTAGGGCTCTATCTGAAGTGTGAGGACCTTCCTCTGGGTGTTGTTTTTGAACAACTAGCTTCGAGCAGCCTATAGTCTGGCTCTTCCCACCTCTGCTTTGACCCCAGAGATACATTTTTCTGTCTAAATCAATGCTGTTTGATTGTGGTTACACTCTCTTGCTGTTTTTGAGTCCAGTTATCACTTCGTATAGACTCTAGGTATCACGGGGCACAATATAAAACAAATCTCTTTCTCCAGGATGGAAAAAAAATGGATTCCAGAACTGCTCCGGAAGTGGTTGCTGCCTCATTAACATTTGGCTTCCGTCTCTCTTTTCCAGGAGAAATTGAGCGCTGCACGTACATCAAGTACCACTATTCCTCAGCAACCATCCCCAGGAACCTCACTTTCAACATCACCAAGACCATCCGTCAGGACGAGTGGCATGCCCTGCGTAAGTACACCTGTGTCTTTGCCTGTGACTGTGCTGTGAGGTCACTTTTGGAGGGATTAAAAGACTGGAGGGACCTCCTTCTGGGATCTGTGGATAGTCTCAGGTCATTGTGGGGGTCCTTACGTGCTGATATCTAGAGGTCAAAATTGCCTCAATTGGTTTTGATTGCATTTGAAATTTGGGGGTTTGTTTCTAAAATTAAGAAAAAAACCAAACCAAACCAAAAGCAAATCACTAGCAGTTAGACAGTGTCCTTATGTCCCTGTCCTGGTAGGCATCTAGGATCTCACCTACCTGACTGAACATGCTCTTGGGATTTCACTCCAGCATGTCTCCACGTTGCTTGGAACATCATTGTGGCAACCTGCTAGTCCCTTGTGTCATCATTTGTAAAGAGTGAGAGTGGCTAGTGGATGCAGGGATTTGCACCTGGGTAGGGTCACTGAGAGGTAGACCTGGCCTCATAAATTTCTGTCACATCCCTATTTTGAATGATAGACATTGGGCCTGGCTCACCTGTGATTGCTCAGCATAGGTCAGATTATCCGTGTCCATTGGTTAGGGAATTTCTTTGCCAGAGATACCCAGAGACTTAAATTACAGTGAGAGGCTGATGGCTGACTTAATGAGTAAACAGAGCTAGTTGGCTATTTTTACTCTTCTGCTCCATGAGGATCTGCTGCCTGTCTGTGGCAGGAGAGCTCTCCCTTGTCGCTGGCACATCTCTTCATGCCAACCCCTTCATCCTATGAGTAGGCACTGTGCCACCTCTGTTCCATTTGTTAGACATTCCTATTCCATTTGTTTTTTTCTCACCCAAGGCCCTTAACCAAGGTTAAAGTTGAGATTGCATTTTTCATGAGAAGGTGCATTCTTTTATTGTTTCCTTGTATTAAGGATCGCTTAATTGATGAGATTTGAAGAAGGCAGCTCTTCAGGCCAAAGCATCTTTCTTCTCTTTATTGTTGTTTAGGTATCATTTGTGTGTGTGTGGGGGGGGGGTGGGGGTCACCAGTGTTTGGTTTAACTTGGGGATGGAGAGTGGGGAGGTGGGAGAGATAAATAAAGCTAAAACAGAATGATCACTCATTAGTCTCAGGAAAAAATTGGGTGTCCAGATGATTGTTATTCAATGCTTCTGGCCTGAAATGACAGAGCAGTGCCAGCAGATGGGACAGCTTTACTGTTGCTCCTATGAGATATAGCTATTAGGAGGGACACTAACCAGCATATGGGGACACAGAGCTAATGTTTAAAGAGCATTCCCATGTGCTAGACATTGAGCTAAGCATGCCACATACTTATTTCATTTTAATGTGAGATTTGCCTTAGAAAGTTTAGTAATTAGGGGTGTTAATTTCTTTTTGGAGGTAGATCTGTAAGCACACCCAAATAGAAATAATATAATAGTTGCTTATTTCCCATAATGCATTGGTCTAGTATAGCCACTTAATAGGATTCAAAATGCAATGTTCAAGAGACATAAGTCCTGATGATTAACCATCTAAAAATAACAGATTATGGTGTTCACAAGAGGATTCAGAATTTCAGAAGGAAGAAGTTGTTGACACTGTGGTTTCAATTCAAATGAACTCAGTTTAACCAGAGTTATGGAGTTTCTCTATGTACCAGGCACATAGTGGATAGCAAAGCCACAGGGAGCTCTTTTAAGAAGCTCGAGTCGGGGGTGGAGAAGTGGGGGGTTGGAGAGAAACATTCACAAAGCAAATAATTACAAGGCAATGAGATAATTACAATATAGTAGAATTGCTTCAAGCAATTAAGATAGTTTGTGGAATTTTTTTTTCAGCAGGAGGTAGAATTATTTCAGTGTAGATTTCACAAATAAACTTCAAGGGAAACCTGGTAGAACTCTTTTGGCTGTATACACTGTAGATGTCTGGAATTCAGAGAGGTTACCCATGGAGGCATCACTGGGAACATGTCACATGGCATCAGCAAAGACAGAGAGCTTTGTGGGGTCCTCTTTGTGTCTCCAGGGTGCTCATTCTCCAGCTAGAGTGCTGTTGGGTTCTGAAAAGTCTAGTGTGCGGCTTATGCTGCGAATTGAGGTGCTAACATCTATTTTTAACTGATAAAAGCTATGTCAACCATTGATACATGTCAAGGTCTCCGGCACATGGTGCCGGGTGAAGCCCATGCTCCCCTTTGGTGAGGGATTCATCTGCTTCTTTGACAAAGTTGCCCAACAGGTTGTTAACCAGGCAGAGAACATTTGCTGTGTTTGACATCGATAACAGCTATTTTTAGCCAGAGGGCAGGTGAGCATCTGTCACAATTGAAGTTGGTACCAAGCATAATTAGGAATGCTTGAATGATAGCGAAGCTCAGTGTGTATCCATGTTAGAATTCAAAGGTCAAGCAGTGATGACATGAGGTGGGAAATGGGCACAGAAGCTGGCTTTGAAATAAAGTGGAAGCAATTAAAAATTAGCAAACTCCTATGGTCAAGTATTGAAGATGAAAAGAAAACTGATTTCTTTATGTGTTTTGAGAGTCCTGTGCTCTTTAAGTGGGATCAAATAAATTCATTTGATACTAGGTTGGTAATATCTTACATTCTATAATTTTTCTCAGTAGATAATGATTGCCCAAGGAAGGAAATTTGAGGGTTGTTGGTTTTTTGTTTGTTTGTTTTCTTGTGAAACAACTTCTATATGGCAAATGTTTGGACTTTGGTTAACCTTGGTTGCATAATTTTTTATCAGGAATTTGCATATAGTCTGACCACTATTGTAGAAAAAAACATTTTTAGATAGGAAAAGCACATTTGGCTTTGAACTATGTTAAAATTTTTGAAAAGTTAACCCCACCACTTGCAGTCTCAACTGCTGCATTCAATCACCTCATGCTCAGGTGAAGACAAGGTGAGAGAATAAAATGATCTGTAGACCACTAGGCTTACAAATCCAAGTGTGCAGAATTAAACCCATGGGAACCAAAGGTCTGAGGATCAGAGCTGTGCACCTGTTGGGGAGGGTGGGAGCGGGAAGGGAGTGATCTTTGTGTCCGAGGTTCAGATGCTGAGTTCTCTGGGTGAGCTGGTGACCAGGGGTTCTGACCCTGGCTGGGACAGGGATTGCTGCTGAGGTACCATGGGGGCCTGTTTGTCCTTCCTCCCTGGGAGAAGCAGAGTGTCCAGATGTGAGATCCATGTCCTCATCCGCCCAGGCCTGGCTGTTCACTGCTGCCCTCCTTTAGTCCTGGTGACACAGGTGTGCAGCAGGGATGGGTGGGTGCCTCTGTGGGGGGCTGCAGGTGCTCTGATCTCCTTGCCCAGATCTTCCTAACATCTCCAGGGCCAGAGCAGGACAGGAGAGTATCACTGGCCAGTTAGGAGGGGACAGGAAGCCTCAGGAGGTGAACTTGGCAGACACCACACTTTGGCTGGGTTGTTGATTTGCTTCGAATGAGGAAGACTGGTCACCAGGGCAGGGAAGCTGGCTGGCCCTGCAGTGGCAGTGGAAGTGGCGCTGCTTCTCCTCTCACTAGCTGTGTCCCCACAGGCTTCTCATAACCTATGGCTCAGTTTGAGGTAGCAGCCCTTGTTTGGAGAATTCTATGTCCTCGAGCAACCCCAAGAGCCCTGGAGGCCATTCCAAGTGGCTCTGCCTTTGTTCAGGAAGCTGCCACAGCATCCTTTGGCCTGGACACTGGATCAGTGACAGGGCAAGTGGGAGAGGGGAGCCTGGGTGGCCTGTGACAGGGACTGGGCAGCTGTGGTGGGCTGACAGGGCCACTGCGACAGAGCCTGTCTGAGGCTGCAGGGCATACACCTGCTCTCAGGTGTGAGGAGGGTGGCTCTTCCTGCCCTGATCTGATCTGCTTGGCAGGGACACAGAGGGCAGCTGTAACTAAGGATCCCTGGTCAGAGCCCTGGACTCAGTCACCATGCTGTGAGCTCAGGGTTCTCACTCTGCCTGGTGAGGGCAAGATGGAGGTTTTAGCCCGCAGCTGATAGTCCCTGGCCATGAGAATCCAGAACCTGGGGCTCCACTTTCCTGCGGTCAGAGCTTCTCCCTTATCTTTTGAGAAGCTGCAAATAAAGGATGCTGGAAGTTCTTGTTTTTTTTTTTTTTTAAGTCTCTATCTGTCAGAATTGAGGGTTCAACAAATTAGATTGGGTGGTCACAGGGCACCTTTCCAGCTGGCTTGGGACTGGAGGGAGGGACGGGGAGAGAGAGGTGTGCTTTCCTCTCGTGACTTCCCTGGTCCCAGCCTGCAACCACACCCAGCGCAGGCTCACAGGGCAGACCTGCAGTGGTGCCTCAGGTGTGCCCAGCAGGAAACAGAACCAAGCAGAGCAGGTGCCTCCCTCTACAGTAAGGGAGTGGAGAGTCCTGCCCCTTTGTCCTGTTACCAGTGGGGCAGAGGATGTCAGTACCAAGGAGTCATCTTGAAGCTGGGTTAAAGGAGCATGGGAAAGTCTAGCTTGGCCAGAAGAAGGAGGAGCAGAAATTGGAGGGGGTGGGGGGTGGTGGAAATGGAGACTTTGTGGATGACCAAGCACATTTGAGTGGACCCACCACTAAGAGGGATAAGAAATCACAATCCAGAACCATCTTGCCTGCTTAGACACCTGAGTGACTTCTCAGTTCCCCGAAGTTCTTCATCTCTCACTCTTGCCTGCAGATTAGCTCTGTCTTGAGGGCCCAGCACCCACCCAGGCTGGTGTGTGGTAAGAAGCCTGCACATTTGGACTCTGCAGTGCAGATGGTGGGGCGGACTCTTATCCTGCTTGGCCAAACCCTAATCATTCCCTTAATCTGTCCTCTCCTATGTCCGTTTCCTTATCTTTTCCTTTTTTTCAGAGTTAAAGGGTCTTGCCCTGAACCCCAGTCTCTCTCTAGCTGCCCTAGGTCCTGCCCATCCCTTGGGCCCTAGGGGCTCCTTGTCCTACCCCACGGGCATCAGCCTTCTGGCCTTGTGGTTATGTTGTTTCTTTGCCTAATAGCACAGCCTTTCCTTTCCCAGGGAAC